TCTTAAATCAATTTACTTTCTCAGATCTCACCCCCTTTTCAGCTACTTGCCTTGATTTTTCTGCATTTTCACCGCTAACCGCCTTTTCCCTTGGCAGCCCCCACTGCTTTGGCTGTTCTGCTGCTTTAGAGGTGAAAGAGGGAGCACTTGTCACTCCTTCAGCCATCTAATTGCAGGCATGTCCCTTGGTTCAGCCTCTAGCCCTTCACTGTCCACCCTCTCTGTCCCTCAGATGTCTCTCTTGGGTCTGACCTCCTCTCATCTTCCACACACCGCCCTTCCCCTATGACTCATGTTGAATGGACCCACCACCCATCCAGGTACCCACACCCGAGACCAGAGAAGCCTTCCTAATTCTTCTCATGCAACCAACTGGGACCAAGCCCATTGGACTACATCTCTTTAACATCTTCTACCTCTAGTACCTCTGCCTGTCCCACCTTTAATTCCTGCACTGTCATTTATCGCTCTGCCACGGCTGCAGTGGTTTATCTATTTTGGTGACACACCCCTTGGTCAGTGCTCCAGAGGGATTTTTGTTTTCCTTCCTGTAGTATCAAATTGGTCAAGTTCTGTTGACTCCATGTCCTAATTATGTCTCAAATCAGTCCATTACTCTACAGCCAGTGGCTTACTAGGTCCTTATTGTTTCTTAGATGGATCTTCTATTAATTCCTAACTAGCTTTCTTGTCCCAAGGCTTCCAGACCCTTCTCCACAGTACCATGAGGGATGCTCTGTCTGCCCTCCTCCGTAAGCCCTTTCAGGGCCTCACCATTGGATCAAGTCCAAGTCAGCAGCCAGCTGCACAGAACTCTGGGCTGTCTGGCCCGCTGGCTGTTTCTCCAGCTCCATCTCTTACTGCCTCCCTTCCTCCCTCTGCTCCAGCCACAGAGGGAGGTATTTGCAGTTCAAGAAACTGACTTTGTTTTACTCCTCTGTGCCCTTGAGTTTACTCCTCACTGTTCCCTCTCCCTGGAGGGCCCTACCCACTCCTCTCTGTCTGGGGGACACCTACACATCTTGTGAGATTCAGCAGAATGTGTCACCTCATCCAAGTGGCCTTCTCCAATGCCCACATCCTTTTTCTTCTTGAGCCTCTTTCGTGGCCAAGCTGTATGTTTTCCATTTATTTCTTAAGCTCAGTATCCCTTAGTCTTTCACCTTCTACCTCAATGGGCTCCTACCTCTGGCTTTCTCATGTTGTCCTTTATTCTCTCAGGCACCTGGCTAAGACCCATGCCTCATCTTGGCCCTCACTTCTTCACCCCCCGATTCCTGGTCCACCAGTTGTTTTGTTGTCAGTTCTTCCTCTGAAGTGGCTCTTGATCATCTACTCTCCATTACCTCTACCCCCACCCTCATACTTGAGGTTTTTCCATGGATCACATTCAAAATTCTTTGTGGGATAGCCTCAGCTTGTTTACCTTTCAATCTCATTACCTATATATTCCTGTATACATTATAATCCAGCCACACTAGAATCCTTACTGATCTCTGAACAGGACCCATAACTTGCTACAATCATGCCTTTGCAAATCTACTGTTTCTAATCCTAATCTCCACCTACGAAATTTCTAGCCTTTCTCCATGGCTCAGCTCCATTGCTTTCTCTTCCACGAAGCTTTCCCCAATGATTCTTATTAGAAGTGACCTCTTTTCTCTGAACCTCTGAATTTTGTACCTATTTGATGGTTCCTATTTGTTGTTGGTTTGCATTTCATGATTACTTCATGTGCAGAGATTAGATTCTGAACTGTTTTATGGCACGGATTATAAATTATCCATTTTTGTATTGCTTCTCTACTATAGAATGTAGCACAATTTCATGATTGTATATACATATCAGCTTTATTGAGATATAACTTACATACCCTACCATCCACCCATATAAAGTATACAATTCAATGGTGTTTAATATATTCAGAGTTGTGCAACCATCACCACAATCAATTTTAGAACATTTATATCACCCTAAAAAGAAACCCCATACACATGAGCAGTCAATCCCCATTTCCCCCCCAAACCCTCAGCACTAGGCAAACATTAATCTATTTTCTGTCTCTATAGATTTGCCTATTCTGGACATTTCATATAAACAGAATCATACAATATTTGTCCATTTGGGTCTAGCTTATTTTATGTAGCATGTTTTCAAGGTTGATTCAGGCTGTAGTATATATTGGTACTTTTTTCCTTTTGTGGCTGAATAATATTCCATGTATGGACAGACCACATTTTGTTTATCCATTCATCAGTTGATGGGTATTTGGGTTGTTTCCACTTTTTAGCTATCATGAATAGTGCTGCTATGAACATTCATGTACATGTTCTCATGTGGATATATGTTTTCATTTCTTGTGTATATACCTAGGAGTGGACTAGCTTAGCTTATGGTTACTCAATGTTTAACATTTTGAGGAACTTCCAAGCTGTTTTTAAAGGCAGCCGCACCGCTTTACATTCCCACCAGCAATGTACGAGGGTTCCAATTTGTACACATCCTCCCCAACACTTGCTACTTCTGTCTTTTTTATTATAGCCATCCTAGTGGGTGCAAAGTAGCACCTCATCCTGGTTTTGATAGCATGACTTTTTACCTATTAGATGTTTGATAGATATGTATTTGTCCAATAAATATTTATATGTAATACGAACAAACAGACCTTTGACAAGGTCGTTTCACTTATAAGTTTATTAATTAGCTAGAAAAGGTGAACACAGGGCCCATATCATTAGTATTCAATTTTTTAAAGTTACTTTTAAACTATTTTTTTTCTTTTTTAGTTGCTAATGTTATCTAGGTGTCATTATAAAAGTCATGAAAATTCATGTAGCTTTGCAGGTTTGAATGTATTTTATAGAATAAGCGAAATTACAAGCAAAAGCCTAACTTTGATGTTCCTGCTCAAACTCTATCACTGAATGGGGAGACCAGGAAGGCTAACTAACTCCTGAATCTAAGGCAGGACAAATGAATAAAGTAGCATTCCCTAAATGGCCCTTCCTTTGCCTTCTCATTGGAACACGTTACAGGTCTGAAGTGCCAGTTCTGGGTGACTGTGTGAACTCTTACTCCTGTTTAGAGACTTGCCCATTTCCTCCATGGGCAGTCCTGTCTTCAAAAAAGAATTTGATAATACACTTGGGGACATGGGGTGGGGGTGGGGGAAGACTTAGAAAAATGCAAGTGCAGAAGTTTCTCTGAGTAGAGTTTTCCTCAGTAAACACTAGACCATGGGAAACATAACAGGTTCTGAAAACTTAATTTCGATGACTCTGGACGTCAGGGAAACAGCCAGCTGAATCAGTTCCCTCCTGAGCTGTGGTTTAGCCTACTTATCTCAAGTCAGAGGTAATGGTCCAACTGCTTTTCCTTGGTTCTAGAGTTCTGTCTTGGCCAGAACCCATCCATTTAGTCCATCCCTAGATAGACACTTTTATCTGAAGCCCTGAAAACTAGAGTTCCACTGAAAGCTGCAAATGAAAGGCCCACGATTGGGCCTAAAACTTTGTATAATGTGCAGGTGTCCTCAGAGGAGCCCGTGTGGTGGAGTCAGAGTGAAAGGTCATGGTGAGTCGAGTAGCCAGCTTTCTGTATATATAACATCATCTTGCCTAACTAGTCTCAAATGCCTAATTCTACAGTAGTAGTCTCTGCAACTAGTTAAGAGGCATATTTGTCTTTAGGATTTGAGGTGTGTGTGGTGTTTATTTTCCACAACCACAGTCAATCTTATCTGTCTGATGATGTTTCCAAAGGCTGAGAACAGGCCCTTTCAGAACCTCAGTAGGAAAAATATTAACAGTTGGAAACATGTCAGCTGCTTCATGGAGGAAGCACAGCCCAGGCCTGGTTTCCCTGGGCTCAGTGATAACTTGGGCCTCAACAGCCAGGGCTAAGCGTGGTGGTGGGAGCTGTAGAGATGGAGAGTGCCCTGCTTTTCAGAGTTGAAACAGGAGCCCTCTGAGAGAAAGAGATATTGCATGTGGCTTCCCTGATGCCTCAGAGGGCGATATGGATGACACAGCATCAGCCGTTCCATCGCGGGGTGGGGACACTGTGGCGGTAGGAGCCTCTGCCATCCTCGGCCCCCTGGGGGCCAGCAGACCCCGCTTAAGCATCAGTTGTGAAGTGTGGTGAAGGAAAAGTGACAAAAGCCGAGTCGATGTTGAATTTGTTGGACGGAGAACGCGCTCCCGGACGGTAGCGGCAGAGCTAAAAAGACGGGGCCCTGGGAGAGAAACAGCCCAAAGTTGGGGGCGGGGTGAAGCGCTGGTTCCTTAATCTCCTGAGCCAGCATCTACTCGCCCCACCTGGATGCAGAGCGAGGACCGCGTGGAGAGGGAACGGCGCGGGTGGGGCTCACCCTCCCATTTGCTTCCGAGACTGAGAGGGGCGGCGCCAGGCCAAGTGACCCCGACCCCCACGTCACCCCTTTCCTGACCTCCTAGGTGCCCCTCTCGCGCCTCCGGGCATCTCTGTCTCCCCCCGTCCTCCGTTAAAATAGTGAAACAAACTCTAGTGATGTGATGGAAAGCTGGGGGCGGAGAGTCGCTTGCAGTGAGGGGCTAGAGGGGAGGGGGCGAGGTGGTCCAAGGTGGCCCGCCGGCGAGCGCTGGGCTGACCGGGATCCGGCTCAGCTGCGGCGGCTGAGACCCTTTTCCCTGGGGCGGTCCGGCCCATCCCCTGGCCCGGGGCGCCTGCGGAGGGCGTGGGGCAAACCTGGGGCTGTGGTGGGGGTGGGGTGGGGGACTCCTCCTCCATCCATCCTGGGATGGAAACTGCGGTCACCCCGCTAAAATCGGGGCGGGGGCGACAGGCGGGTACCGCGCTCCCTCCCACCCCCCAGCCAGAGCCGCCGCAGCCGCCGCCGCCGCTCAGTAACACGTCCCCAGGAGACTCGCAGGAGCAACACGTGATGTGTCTACTTATCAGGGTGAGAGGGGGAGAGTGAGTCTCCCAGCGTGCGGGCGAGGAAGCGGGGCGGGGGGCCGAAGCGGGGGCCGGGACGACGGCTGGGGCGCCGGGGTCGTCAGCTCCTCGCCCACCTCCCTCCCTGTGGGAGAAGAGGAGGAGGGGAAGTGACTGCGGAGTTGATGAACTTTGCACATCCAGAAACGCCATTTTGATTCCTTTTCCGGAACAAGTTTGCATCTCTCCTCGTTCTCTCCCCGAAGCCCACCGGTCCCCACGGCATCATGCCTGGGAGCCAAGCACCCTGCCCGGCCGTAAGTACGCGCCCGGGGTTCCGGCTCGCGGGACTCGGGTGGTAGCGAGATGTCTGGGGCTGAGCAGGAGCGACCTTTTAAAGAACTTTTGGGGATGGGGAGGGTGAAGTCTGCAGAGCGCGTTGTACTTTTTAAACTCGCCGTTTCCCGGAGCCGAGGACCCGAGCGCCCCACGCCGCGCTACGTGCGCTCGGGGCGGTGGGGCCGGCCGGGGATGAGCTGGGCAGCCCTCTCCCCTCGGGCTGCGCGCCGGGCCGCTCCTCCTCCTCCTCCCCTCCTCCTCCCCTTCCTCCGCTCCTTTCCCCTTCCCGAGCTGCCGGCTCTGCCAACCAGCTCCCAGCGCGAGCCGCCGCGGTCGCCGCAGCGCCCCGCCGCCAGGACCTGATGCGCATCCATATTAGCCGTCCGAGCGCAGGAATCCGGCCCGACCCGCGCCGCCGCGCCCGCCGCCCAATTTATTTTTAACCAGCACCGCCGGGACTCGGATGGTGCACGCACCGCCGGCCAGAAACATCTTCCCAGCGCTGCTCTCCATCTTCCGCCCTCGCTCCCCCGACATCCTCCCCCCATGTGGGAGGGGAAACTTTTCTCCTACATACTTTCGAGTCCCTCTCGGGCCGAGCAGCGCAGAGATGACGGCGCCCGCCCGCCGCCGCAAGGTATCCGGGGGTGCCCGCTCGGGGTGCCTGCCTGGGGTGCTAGCTCGGGGGTGCCCGCCTGGGGCTGCGCGGTGGGAGCATCCGCCGCGCCCTGCTCCGCGGACTTTGATCCTCCCCGGCGGACGGCGCCGGCTTGGGAGGGGGCCGCGGCCACCCTGCGCCCTCGCTCGCTCTGGGCTCGTGGCTGTGGGTCACGCAGACCACTGTCCCGGGTAACCAGGGGAGGAGGGGGCCGGAGCCGGAGCCCTGTCCGCGTATTGTTCCCTTGCCCTTCGGTTGGCCGTGTGTTTTCGTGGGAGCCATCGGTGTGGAGCGGAGCCTGCATCGCGGGGGGGAGGGGGGGGGCTCGGCGCCCGGCGCCGTCACGAGCACAGGAAGGAGGCCGGGAGCATCCGAGGCGGGGCCGGCCGCCGGAGCCCACTTCGCCGCCCAGCTGTGGAGAGCGCTCGGAAACTTTTGTCCGCCGCCCGCTGGACCAATTTTTTGCGAGTTCTGGGGCTTCCCTTCCTCCTCCCATCCGGCCGGCAGTGCAGAGCCTGGGTGGGAGGGGGGCGGCGTCGAGAGGCTAGAGACCCAGTGCGCCCCCCCCCTCGGGCCCGGCCCCCTGCGCCCCCTCCCCGCCCGCGGTCTCTTAGGAAACTGCGACCTTAATGGTTGCTAAGGAGCAGGGGAGGTCCTTCCCGTCGCCGGCCCCCACCCTGGGAAGCGGGGTGTTTTCTGAACCGGGCGGAGGGTCGCGTCGGGGATGTAGTTAGTGACTCGCTCCCCGGCCACCTTCTGGGCCGGGCGAGGCGCGTGAGTGCGGGACGCGGAGGCCGAGCCCGCTTGTTGGCGAGGCTACTTGACTCTTCGGGCGGGGGCGGCCCCGGAGAGAGGAGAGGCGCAGGGGGCGTGAGGACCCAGGGGTCGCGGGCACCCGCAGGCCGGCGGGCCGGTTGACAGGCGCAGCGTGCAGCTCGCGTCCAGCGGCCGCGGTGCATCCGTGATGGGTTATAAAAGAGGAGGAAAGTATTTCTCCTTGCTCAGCAGATTTGCCCTCCCTCGCTCCTTACTGGTTAGAAGATAGAACGTGAGCCCAGATCCGGACGAGCAGTTCACATTCCATTACGAAATTCTACACGGCTTCAGAGCCAGCAGCAGCACACATTCGGGGCACTTTGGAGTTTTTTTCTTCTTTTTGGGGGGATGGTGATGGTGGTGGAGAAGGATAGAAAGAACGGTGAATAAAAATATAACTTCTTGGTATGCTGAAAAACCTGTCCTAGGGTTTTCATCAGTAGCCGAATTAACTAACCCTCATGCTTGTTTTAGAGTTTAGATTTAAGCGTAGCCTTTTGAAAGCCAGTGGAAATAAAGTTTGCCTGTTGGATAGGGATGCTGGAAATAGCGAGGTATTTCTGTCTTGAAGAGGACTGGAGGTGATTTCTGCAAAGGCTGAGTTACTAATGTGCATCCCATATTTTTGAGATTTTTTTGTTTTAGAGATGCAGTGGTATGTGCATGCATGTGCGTGTATTCTGAAATAAGTTTAATTGAAGTAGAAGTTGGAAAAAAGGGAACTGCAAAGAAAAGAATGGTTTTCGTTTTGTTTTTTGGGGGTGTCCCACCACCACCACCTATCCACCTTCACAGCCCTTAAAAGCATCCTCTAGATCTGGTGCTTTTTAGAGTAGGCAGGTATGATTTTAAGACATAATGTAACCCGGAAGTCTAAGAGGCCAAAGTCTTGGCTGAAACTTTTTTCTTCTTGTTTGCAAACGTTTAGTTCTGTGCTTCCTTCAAGAGTCACAAAGAACTTTTGAAGGAATGGATTTGAAATTATTCAAATAATTTAAGCAAAGGTGAGCCACTAGTTTTAGGGATTTGTTTGTTTTTGTTTTTTTACCTCTGCCCGTTGGAAGGAGCCTTCTGGGTTCGGGCTGATGGATCCTGCTTTGATGTGTTTTGAGCTTTGGTTACACTGATGAATTAAACATTTGGATGGCTTTTATCAAGTTTTAAATGTGTGAAAAAATACCTTCCCTCCTACACCCCTTTTACAAAAGACAGGGAGAGCCCTTTGATTTAGTTATTTGTTTAACTTGTGCTCCATTTTAGGTTGTTAATGAACTTGTGCTGTTTTATCATTCTTATAAATGCTGCTGAATTGATTGCATTTTAGGATGTTTAGGTTTTTAAAGGGGATTCGCTGGCTATGTGATACTCTTAAATGCTGCTGATGCTTACTGGAATATGGCATATCATTCTCTGGGTTTTTCTAGATACTATTTATTTCTCATCAGAAAATCAGAGTCTATGCCTTGACCGCAGAGAAGTGTTCATGTGAAGGGGAAGAATGGGTCTGACTCAGCTGGCAAGGTGGTGGTGCATCCATTCCTAACTGTTTACGTCATCCAGCGAGTGACCTTTTGATTGAAGGGTCTTTTATTTTAAATTTCTTCAGGCTGACTCCTGAGGTCTCATTTGCATCCAAGAGAAGTACAGAATATTGGAGGAAAATAAACCTAACCTTGTTAGTCCTGCACCTGATCAACAGCTGTTTTATCAGTTATGTGCTGTATGTCAGGCAGGAGCCAGGTGCCATGAGGTAGCTTTCATTTTTGTTAAATTTTGAATTGCTGTGTTGGTCCACTTCCTAGGTCAGTTTGGAAATCTTTGCTTGCCGTCATATGCTCAGTTTTCAACATCATTTATTACCTTCAGCAAGGGATATTTCCTGATTAGTAAAGTTTTAAAACTTCTACTTTTTTAGGGTTTTGTATGGCATAGTTAATATAAATTGAAGTCCTACAAAAATTGGTTAATCGCGTTCACTAGAAACAGTCAGAAGTGAGTCCTTTTGATGTTTCTATTCATTATCCTTCTGAAAAGTAGGTGATGCTTAAAAGGTCATAGGATAAGGGTTGCTAAGCAGCTAAACAGAAGGATGCTAAAATTAACCAAAGCATTTTTGAAAGGGAGTCCTTCCCTGTTTTACATTATTTACTAGATTTAATTAATTTCTGAGGCCCCCGTGTCCTTTGACCCAGGAAAATAGGATGTTGAGTTTTTGTTTTTTATCATATTTAAATAATCTCTCTTTCTTTTGTACGTGTCTTTTAATTGAAGTTCATGCTCTCTGACCAACTCTGGTGTCAGATGGCAGCTTGTCTGGGCAGACTTCTTGTCTGTTACCCGTGTGTTCAGGTTAAACCTTTCCCTTCCCGAGCATATATGTGAGTAACATCACTGTATTTCATTTATTAATAATGGAACATTTAGTTTGTTTTGGAAAATCTACCTAATACACAAAATGATGTCCTCCTTCACTCCTTATTAATAGATTTGCATTTAAAAGATAGAAATGAAATATAATATCAATAGGAAGTATGCAGTATAGACTTGCCTGATAACAGAGCAATAGTTTTCTTCTTTTTACTGAGATTCTCTTAGGCTTTAATAGGGCTTGTCCTTTTCACTCCACTTCTCCATCTCACTCAGTTTATTCAGCCCAGTTCTTAATACCTTTTTAAAAATAATTATATTAGGTTTAGAATATGTTTGGAAGGGCTGACATTTCCGTCACAAATATTTGGGGGAAAATTGTGATTTACCTTACATTTGTGCCATAAGTATGTTAAAGGATCTTGGAGTTTTCAGTGAGATAAAATGGTTGAAATCGAACCAAAGCCATGGTTGGTAACCAGGCAAGTCCATTATAAGTCAAAAGTTTCCCTGCCTCAAGGTTACTTGTGTACATCTGACCTACCGAGCAGGCAAAACTGAGCAATATTTTTTATATCCAAATATAATAAAGAAATTGGATGGATTGGGGGGGGCAGGGAAAATGAGCTTTCTCTCCCTCTGACTTAGGAAGTGATTTTTGAGTAGAAATAGCCATGGCCCTCTTCAGAAAGCAGGAGTCAGATGGTGATTCCCATGCCCTGGGGGGCTTTCCCATAAATCAGAAGTAAAAGGTATACTCTATGAAACACAGGGAGGCATACTATGTGCTTTCTGAAATGCATCACCTATTTTTAATTTCCCCCATTCCCGTAAGAGGAAAGCCATCTGCTGTGTTTGCATTAGGACTGAGGTGGAAGAATGAGGAAGACGGGAGTGAGGGTGAGGGACTTGTCCCCCCTTTATATTAGCTATCCTGTGGGACAGTGTCATCAAGTGTGCTGGTCTCAGTTTCTCTTGTCACCTTCCCTGGGTGTTGACTATTGGTCTGAAGTCAAGCCGAGTAGCTGGAGATTGCGCTCTGACATTGGTTGGTTGCGATGGGGTGGGGTGGACAGGAAGGGAGGCCCTGAGAGGAGGGCGCAGGGAGCTGTGCCTTCCAGCCACTGGCGCATCTAG